CCCCAGACCGCATCTAAGCGCGTGTACAACCGCCGTGTGATTAAGTGACGTCACTCGCAAGTCAACCTCACATAATCACATAAGGCGTTCATGAACATCGTTCACACCATACTCAGTAGTGAACATACATAACAACATCACATCATAGATTGAATGAATAGTGGAAAATATTCAACGGTCAATCATAAGCCACATATGGCAAAACGTAAGCTCGCAGGCCAAAACAATGTAATATTACAAAAGTATCCATGAGCATAGTTTATGATTTAAATTAATAAAGGAAGCAACAACCACGTCTTCCTCTAGATTCTTTCCACCCGTGCAAAGGTGTAGACAACAGGCTCTAGCTTCAACCTGAAATGGTGGGCCCCCCCCCGAAGGGGTCAGTACAAGTACCGAGTGAGTAGCAAGCTAAATGTAGAGTAACTAACGTTTCAAGTATAAGACCCAAACATAGGGTGATACATATACTTATACTTCCTTACCCCAAGTTACAAAATACATATCAGTACTTATATACACTTGGAAATACCCGACCCGTAGGTCATTTTTTAATTGGGAAAAATAATAGTAGTCAATGTCCTTGACTTAAAACCCCAACCCACCCATAGACCTATGAGTGTATAGGACTCCTCCTGTCCAAATCAAATAATCATAAGGACACCGCCCGGTCCTGAATTACTAAATAGTAATCTATGAGTTTTGAGGATACACGCCCGATCCTTGGGTACTCCACCCTATATAACTGAGTTTTGAGGATACCGCCCGATCCTTGGGTACTCCACCCTATATAACTGAGTTTTGAGGATACCGCCCGATCCTTGGGTACTCCACCCTATATAACCGAGTTTTGAGGATACCGCCCGATCCTTAGGTACTCCACCCGACCTATGATCTACCACATATCATACTAGATAGGGCCTATATCATAATCAATAAACAAGACTAGACCAATTCTTAAGGCCTAAACAAAATCATCCATGCAACTCATGCATTAAAATTAGCATATAGGTAAAGTAAGGCCAAACCGGCACCGGTCAACTCTTGGTTGACCCGCCCTTCCAAATCCAATGTGTGTCAAACTTAGTCACAATATGTACTAAGTATAAATAACTATTTTATGCACATTTCATCTCTAAACATATCACATATGTTTTTATGAGCATTTTCACTTCACAAATCATGCATATTTCAATAGTTCACTTCATACAAGCCTAATCACTTTAATTGGCTAATCACATGTTTAATTCATTTAAACATTATTATGAACACACATAACATCTACTTAGGTAATCTCATGCTTAACCCAAAAGTTACAAGGCATTAAGCCATCCACTCACCTCAAATGAGCTTTAGGAAGATTCTACTCTTCTTAGTTGAACTCCGACGAGACTCCGGCGAACTTCGGCGAAACTCCGGTGAAACTCCGGCGAAATCTAGAACCACTTTAGTCAAGCTCCTAACATGGTTTAATCATTACAAAACCCATATCAACACAAATAACCCCTAAAAGGTTATTTTCCGGCGAACCGGCCATTTTGGCTTCTAAATCCGTTCTTGGACTTAGAACTACCTTCAAACCCCCCCTCATTCTACACTTCTAAATGTGTAGAATGATTCTAGGAGTCCTCCATATGATATATAAATCATATGATAAATAAAAAATAGAGGAAAGGTTAGTATAAGGTCATTACCTTAATTATCCAAGTTTTCCTCCTTTTTTCCCTCTTAAAACTCCCCCTTTTGAACCACTCTTGCTTGAGCTTGAGCTACAACAATGGAGTATGATGTTGGAGCTATCTATCTCTCTTCTTTGATGCTCTGTCCGAAATAATGGGATGAGGGGGGTTGGAGTTGGCTCTTTTGTATTGCTTGGACAATGAGTGGGGAGAAATGGGGTCCATGGGTGTACCTTTGATGCTCATCACCTCACCCTCTTCCCTTACAAGTCAACCATCCCCTTTCCTTGTCTATCCGAGATCATAAAAACGTGGGGTGGCCCCCACTCATGTCGGAGGTCATCCCTTTGTGTCCCGAAATGCACAATCGGTCTCGAAAGTTGTATTTTTCGGACTCTTTTAATTATATTTTATTTTATCGGGTCAAATAAAATATATTGTGTGATTTCAGTCACTATGGACCTTTAGAACAATTGTGGATTCCCCAACTTTAATTTAGAAGTCTCCGAAATTCAATTCGGACTGTTATCCGGTAAATTACCAATACCGGTAATGGGGCTTCGTTTGACCGGCGGGTCAACCCTAAGCCCTTTTTATGGCCCAACTAAAATATATATACCATCATATAAATATTATCTAGACCAAGATGAATATAATATGTGGTCCCGGGTGTACCGGACGGTCCCTGCTCCCGGTGTGGGCCCCACGTGCAGTTCACTATTCACGCGAAAGAAATAACCAAAAATTTACAACCACGTAAATTCATAAATCAATATTCAAGATTTATTACATGATTTACTAAAAAGTAAATACATTTGGGGACGGTGTTACACGTATAGTGCTACATACGCAGGGTTAGGGTTGTTAGTTTCTTATCAGCCGGTTTGGGCTTTATGTAGCCTTATTATTTTAGGTGACAACTCCGGTACCCATTTAAAAAATGGGTACGGTACCTACCAATTACTTGAATAGTCCAAATCATTATATCATTTTTAATTTAGATTTAAATAGTTCAACTGCAGCATTCTGATTAGTTCACGTGGACAAAGATATGGTACCTTAAGGGTACCATAGAATCTACCATTATTTTATTACGCACTAGTAGTATATGATGGCTATAGTATGTCATAGTACTAGTATTAGTTAATGGGCATACTACTGTACATAGGTGTTGATATTTTAACTTAAGTGTATATGTAAAAGGGGTTTATGTAAGTGTATATTGTGTATAATACATAAGTCATTTGGTAAAAGGTCTCTTTTATTGTGTAAGTAAATATTTTATTTGACCGACCTAATTATTATGAAAATGTTACTTTTGTAACAATTTTATTTTCAATAAAATTAATTATTTTATTTCAAATGAAAATTTCCACTTAAATTTTCGGGGTATTACACCTAACCCCAACGTTCCAGTGACCCAGTGTCAGTAACCTCAACGTCCATTGATCGACCACTCGGCCGCAACATAGTGACTACGCCACCTAGTGACCAATTTATAATGACCTTAGTGATTAGTGACTTCAGCCTCTAGTGACCTAGCTACGGGTGAACCATCCTCAGTGATCCACTACATTGGTCATTAAGCCTGTGATCACAACATTGACGTGCATTCTAGCCCCAATCAGTAACCCGCCGTCCCAAAACCTTTCCCTCACTCCCTAACCCCCGCCCTTTCCCTATTGTCTGCCCACATGTAGCCCAACCCTTCCTAAGCTACATGCCCAATCCCTCTCCCATCCCTTAACCCTCCCCCCCAACCCACCAATTGTTGCCCTCATTTCCACACCAACACATACCCTTGCCTCTACAAGCCTTCACCCCTCCTCTAGTCGCGCCCCAACCATGAACCTTTACCCTTTGCCCGACCCCTACAACCCGCAACCAAAAATCTAGATCAACAATGCCAATTTTGTGGATTGCGAACAGGAGAAAGAAGAAGAAGATATCAGAGGCGGAAGCTTCGCGTTGTAGCAAGGAAGCTCTGCAACAATTTGATATCGTTGTTGCTCGATTTGTGAATCTTTTCACCACCTGAGACCGTTGCCACCCTCAATGATGAAGAAGCCCATTGCCACACATCAACGAGTTTGTCCTCTAAATAGAATCGGCGAAGAAGACGATGAGGAGGGAACGAGATATTGAGTTGTCGACAGGAGAGTCTAGATATATCAAGGGCATCACATTCCGGTCCATTTAGTATTATGTGGTCTTTTGTTCAACCTAAGTCTTTGTCCTATTTTTGTTGAGTCAAAAGTGTGTGATGTTTTTTCTGCCATTATTTCTTTGTAAATACCTTTGTCGTGACTTTTTTGAGCTAGACTATAAATCTAAACATCTTTTGCTTTTTATCCAAATAACTTTTTAATACATGTATTGCTGTATTTTTAATACATGTACGTATTGATGTACATATATTCATTTACTTTAATTCACTAATCTAAGGATGTTTTAATGGGATTAGTTTCAGTATGAGACCAATCATATCATATCAGACCAGATCTAGAAAGACTAGACCAGGTCTGACTTTGAGAGTTGTATAATACACGTAGAACAAACATCTAATAGACAAACTAGATCAATTCAGAGCAGTCTTAAACAAATCAGATCTAATCTGGACCGCCCTAATTAGACCAGACCAGACTAGAACTTTAAAGGGAAAGTTTCTGAAATAGGAGTAACCAATTCAAAAATAGATCTTCTATGAGGGTGTTTGGAACTGATTTTGCTTCTGCTTCTTTTTTAAAGCAGAAGCAGAATCAGAATCAGTTTTCAGAAGCTGGTACCCCCCAGCTTCTAAAAAAACTGATTCTAGGAGTAAATTAGAGCAGAAGCAGTTTTAAGAATCAGATCCAAACACCCCCTATGTTTATTATTCTTGAAATCAAAGTAATACTCCCTCCGGTCCTTAATTAATTTTACACTTTTCTTTTTGGGGCGTCCCATATTAAACTTTACACATCCTTATTTGCCTTATTTGGCAAACAAATTTACACCAAACAGTGCCAAACAGTGTACTCTACATTAAAGTCAAATTTATTTCTTTAATATGTGTGAAGTCAAAGTGTAAAGTTTAATAAGGACCGGAGGGAGTATAACTGTATTTACTAGCATCTTGGATCCATCGATGTGAAAACAATTATTATAGTATATAAACCTTAACATGATAATATTTAATGTCATTAATTCATTATTGAAAAATAATGAAAGTACTTTCATTTTGAGAATAAAAAATACAAGAGCGGAGACGGTTTTTATGGCAATTTCCTAAACTTAAATCTACGAATTACTTAAATTAGTTTAGTGAAAATTCACGGATGATTTAGCGTGTATGATTTGGCCTCGACCGGAGTAAATAAAAGAGCGAAATCCCCAAATTGCTGCGTTCTTCGTCTGGTCTTCTTCTTTCCCGCTGGACCCTGCAACAGCTGTATCTGGAACCCCGATTCCTTCTTGTCAATCCCTTTTCCGTTGCACAATTTCCATGGGCTGAACCGTGACATCGTAACCGGTTGGAGAACGTAATTTGAAACTGATATAATGTACAGAGGTTCCGGAAAGCATGGCCGCGGTGGCGGCAGAGGCCGTGGCAAGCGCAACATCCCCTCATCATTTCACGCACCACCTATCCTGAGCTCTTCTGTCGTACCAGGAGGCCGCGTATTAGTTGGAAGTGGAGCTACTCCTAGCTGTCGCGGCACTTCTTCTGCCCCCAATTCCTCTGCTGCTTCCAATGAGACAGAGGAAAATTTCAGCCTTGTTGCGGGAAATGCTTTGAACTTCTCAATGATAATCCGGCTGGCACCTGGCCTAGTGGAGGAGATCAAGCGAGTGGAGTCTGAAGGGGGTGTGGCGCAGATCAAATTTGATGCAAATGCTACTAATTCTAATGGAAACGTGAGTTCTTGAATTTTTCCCCGTTTTTATTATACTGAGTATGAATTATGTTTTGATTTTGGAGTTGAAATTTTACCATCGATTTTCAAATTGTGGAGTTGCTGCGTTCAGAGAATCCTAAAGGCTGTTATATTGATGCTTGGTGTTCTTGCGGATATTGTTCAATGTGTCCCTACAAAGTATGAATGTGATGAAAGTCTATAACTTTTATCATCATATGCTTTCTCCATAAAAAAGATCACAAAACAATGTGATCACTTGAGGTAGTAGTTTTATAGTCTTGTCTTGTTACAACTTACATGTTAAATAATAAAAAATAAAAAATGTACATCATGAAACATAACCAAATGATGCAAACTTCATTTATCATTGTAAAATTCCTTCCAGCTTCGTCATATAATTGTTTCTCGTTGGGCTCCAAATTTACCCCCCCTTGATGGCAAGGGAAACCTGACATATTCAGATTCAAAAGGTTATTGACTAATTATATCACCTTGTGGAGATTAATCCACATATACTTAGACTGGGGTAAAAAATCCAGTGGGAGACTGATCCAATGTGATCTCTGAAAGCTTGAAGTATTGGATGCTATCATGCTATATTATACAAAGTATGTATTACAAATAATTTCCTTTGAAAAATAGAGAAAAGGAGAAGATAAAGCCTTCTCTTAAAGTGCTGTTACTTCATGCCTAAGGTTTGTTAGAGCGTAGAGAATTAAAATTCCAGCTGTTGATAGATACACTTAGATTTGCTGCCTCTAGAGGTTTTTGCAAAGTTTAGATGTCACTCACATATAGTTCTGTGATTTTCATCAACTGGCCTGCTTATTTCCGATTGGCCCTAACATCAAGATTGAAACTTTTAAATCAGGTTATTAAGGTTGGCAGTAAAGACTTCAGATTCACATGGTCACAAGAAGGGGGAGACCTATGTGACATATATGAAGAGCGTCATAGTGGTGATCATGGAAATGGCCTGCTAGTAGAATCGGGCAGTGCTTGGAGAAAGGTGAATGTACAGCGCGTTTTGGATGAATCGACTAAAAATCATGTTAAAATGCTATCTGCGGAAGCTGAACGCAAGTCTAAATCACGCAAGTATGCTCTCTTTTTGTTGAAATATTTATCATGTGGGTGCAATATATGTATATATAATTTGTATTTACTTTAGTGGTCCGTCAATGAATTTTGAAATAACATTGGAATCTATTTCAATTATCTTTGCTATATACTTCATCCTTAGTCCTTATTGTGTTAAAATCGTCTGAAAATAGAGCCATCGTTTTAGACCATGGAAATCCATCTACGAAGAGTCAAGTGAAGGCAATGGCAGCTGTAGAAGGTACTCTTTTGTTTCCACCTTTTTACTATCTGAATGCTTTATGATGTGAAGTGTGTGTTTACCTGTAAGATATTTGTCTTTGACTTTTTCAAATTATATTACTAGCATTGGCAATGTAGACAAACTTTATATTATCAGGTAATACATGGAGATCAGGTTTCAAGCAACCCCCTTTGAAGAAAAGGAAAGCTGAACCACCTCCAGGTATTGTCTGATGAATATATTCTCTTTTTTTCTCGATTAATTTATTTTATCCTAATATCCCATCTAAAAATATGCTAGTTTCAATACTATTTGATCTTCAAATTAGAATTAAAATCATTTCCCCCTTTCCTCGAAATCATGACACTAACAGCAGGTGGCCCTTCTAGACCTACTTTTGAATCTGTGGGTTTATCTGTAGTAACTCCTTCAAAGAGAATTAGACCTTCAACTTCACCTTTATCTTCTCCAGTTCATCTATCTAGCATGCCCACTCAACCAGAAAACAAAATTGCTAGCACTGTCAAAGAAATTCACCCAAGCTATGCGATGCAAAATACGCTAGGGTCCAAAAGGAGCACAGACACCAAACCTTCTGATCTGCGTAGCTTGTTGGTATTTGCCCTAATGGAAAACCAATCAAATGGGTTGAGCCTTAAGGTATGTGTAAGGCGTTTGTTTATTTTGGTTCTTTTTGTGGCAGTTGTATCCAGTAGTTACTCATTACTTGACAACTTCTAATTTGGGGTCATAGAACTCTTGTTGAATTTGTGAGAGCAAATACGAATTCATTCATTCTCTGTCAATGCATCAGGTTTTTACATGATTTCTTCTGAATTCTTAGGCCTTGGAGAAATCTGTTGGAAACGCTTTTCCTAACTCAGCAAGACAAATTGAGCCAATCCTTAAGAAGGTAATACATGAAGTGATTCTCCCCTTTTATCAATAGGGAAAGGGCATACATACCTCACAAACACTCAGACCTAATAGGCCGTGGTGTAGCCACCTCTTATCACTCACAATAAAGACGAGTGAATTCATCTTTTGAACTAGGCCTACAAATCGGAGAACCACTAATAAAGAGTTACACTCAGAAAGATGGAGTAGAGGAAAGGGATTAACATCGTATGATGGTTGTGGTTCTCTTATATTTTGCGCTCCCGTGATATCTCCCTAATGGGAAAAAAGTGACTTTAAAGATAAGTAGAAGCATAAGACTCGTTGTTCTTTTTAACCAACGGTTTTCCTTCCTTGTCAATTTATGCAAGAGTTATCAAAATCTCTAACTATTGTTGTCTCATTGATCCGTGTGGCAGATTGCAACCTTTCAGGCTCCAGGGAGATATTTTTTAAAACCAGAAGTGAAGATGGAAAACATCCAGACAGCTGTAGCTGAAATTGGAAGGTAATACCAATATGTTATTGCTTTTCTAGATTCTTGAGTTCATATCTTCCCAAGTGTTGTGCACAATTGGCTGAAATGAAAAATGAAATGAATGCCTATAAGATTACTGTGAGAATATAGTTATAGGCTAGTGTGCTTCTGTGGAAGTGTAAATTTTAGGGTGTCAAGTTCCTGCTACAAAGAAGTTGGCATTGTAAATGGACTACATAACTTGTCCTCCTCCCTCTTCTGTAGTAATATGCTCGTCTTAAAGCACTGATGCTTGTGGTCAGATGCATCACACTTACTGGTTCTGATATTTTTATTTTTATTGTATAGTTCTCCTGAAGAGCATCTTCACACACCACCTGCCCTCAACAAACATGGTGAGTTATCAGCTTCGCAGCTCGACTTTTCCATGATGAATGAGGCCAATGAATTGGAACAGAAAACACTGCTGGATTCTAAAACTGAAGAACCATGTAACCCAACAGAAGAAGTTGATATACTTCAGCAATCGCCAGACTTTTCTGGTGAGAAAAAGGCCTCCGATCACAGCTTAGGGGTAGCAGAAAGCTCTAGTGATAGTGGAAGTGACAATGACAGCGAAAGTGATAGCAGTGACAGTGGAAGTCAAAGCAGAAGCCCTCGGGGAAGTAGAAGTGTGAGCAGGAGTAGCAGTGACAGTGAAAGTGATGCCTCTTCCATCAACACTAAGGAGGCATCTGATGTGGAAGTGGATATTATGAGTGATAATGACCGAGATGAAGTGCAACCTCTTGAGCATGGCTTGGCAAAATCTCCCATTCCAACCGGAGGAACTCAAGGTATTGAGCCTGGTCAGTTTGGGATTGATGAAAAGGAGGAATATGTTCATGTTATTGATAATATTGATATTAATAAACACTTTCAAGATGGTTGTCATGGATTTGAAGAGAGCAATATCACTGATAATGTACCTGTGAAGGAAGGCAAAGAAGCAGAAGAGACCGGACTTTCATCTGACCAACATAAGAATATGGGGGAAAACCAAGTTCAAACAGCAACCTTTTATAGTGAAAAGGAGGGCATGCTCAAAAAGGGTACCAAGCTTGAGCAATCTGGTGGTATTTTTAGAACACCTAAAACTAAGTCTGATAGACTCTCTGACGTGAAGCAGTTTGATGATAAACACGACCAAACTAAGAGGTTAAAAACTGGAAACATAAACCAACACCAAAGTTCTGCTAGTAACCCTGTTTTTAATGAGGGTGTTTCTCAACATTCTTCTCCTGATAGAGCCCTTGAGTTATCTTCCAAGAATGTTGGTGTGCTGGTGGTTAATAGAACGGGAAGAGAAGGTACTTCTGATTTTTCTTCACAGAAAGGTCACAGCCTGACCTTTTCTGGAAACTCTTTTTCCGATTCTCAGCACCCAGACTCGAGACATGTTGAACTCAGTGGGCTGGACAAAGTTTCGGCGGCAGCTGCAGAAAAATCAGTTAAATATGGAAATACATTGAGCCGTAGTGCTAAGCATTCTTCTGAAAGTAGGGTTTTAGTGAATGAAGGTTTCTCTTCGCAGAGAGAGAAATTGAATAAGGGTTCAGTTCATGAAGAAGGGAGTTTTGATGAACAAAGAACGATGAAAGTTTCCAAGGATAGTACAGGGGATTGGCATAAAAGATCTATTGAATCCCAATACAGAAAGCATGATAATTTAGACCCGGGATGTTCTCCAAAGGAAAATAACACAAGCAATGTTGGAAGATCTTTAATGAGTGGGCAAAATAAAAGACTTCAGAGAGAAGTTTCAGATTTGGAGTTGGGTGAATTTCGTGATTTCGCTCTAGAGGATACACATGCAATGCAAAAACATACCGAGAGGAGAAGTTCCGTCAAAGGGGAAAACAAACCAACAACTTCAGATCACTGGAACTCAGACACAGGTAAAGGAAAGGGGGCTAATAAGATTATTTCAGGATCAAAAAAGACATCTCCGCGTCATTCATATGTCGCAGGTGGTACTCCGGATGGAATATCTAAGAGAAAGTCCCTCGAACCTTACCCCCAGCAAAAATCTCAGCAACATCTGTCTCAACTAAACCATCTCAGAGTTGATCAGAATGATGTTGGACACCTTAATAAGGCATTAGACGTGAGTAGTAAAAGCAGAAAGAATGAAGTTGGAGGGACTCAAGAGACTTATGGAGACAATAATCACAACAAAGTCTTTACAAGTGCAGCAAAACGGCATGATGCAAAATTAGGAGCTGTATCTATATCTACTAGTGAAAGTAACATCCAGAAATCTAATTTTGTTGCAGACCTAAATGGTAGGCGAAAGGGTGGATCTTTGACAGGTAATAATGATGATCAGAAGCGGAAGGAATCTCCTTCAGACGAGATTAGTTGTTCCTACTCCAAGTATGAAAAGAAGGAGCCAGAGTTCAAGGGTCAGATAAAGGATTCCTCCCAGTAAGTATATTGTTTGGATGCAGACCTAGTTTTTGTCAATCCTGTTTTTTGACTCGTGTTTGCATAGTTGTTGATCAAACATAAAATACTATACTTTAATCATGTAGGAAATATATATTCTTTATTTAACTTTTATTTGTATTTACTTTTCAGTGCCGTAATATCTTCAGTAATCATGAACTTTCTCAATCTCTGCTCATACATCACTTCTTTTTTGTGAAGGTACAAAGAGTATGTGCAGGAGTATCTGGAAAAGTATGAGACTTATTGTTCACTAAACAAAATCTTAGAGTCAGACAGGTAAAATCTGAAGCATGTACACATACTAAATCAAGCATTCAAAGGAAGTTTCTTTACTAACCGTTTGATGTAGTTCTTTTGGCCTTATGTTATTGATTAATGTGATGCAATCAACTGATGTATCTTATTAATGAAATGATTTAGGATTAAGTTCAGTAAATTTGGAAAAGAGCTCGAGGCTTCTAAAGGAAGAGACATGGAGAGATACAATGACGTATTGAAACAATTGAAAGATTCTTATCATCAATGTGGAGCAGTAAGTTTTTCCTCTTTTGAATGCTTTCTTTGCTATTGTGGCTGTTTTGGATTATGGAGCATTTCATTCCACAGTTTGTGTTGTTCTGCAACCCATTGTGCTGACATCTCAAGCATTTTAGATAAAATGATCATTTGATTAACATGTTAGTCAAGTCTAAAGATCTAGAAATCTTCATGGACAAGATCGTCACATGAACTCTAACTATGCATGTTAAAAGTAGTATGAACTGACATGATACTTGACTCTGCTGCAGTTCAACCACTGGTTTCTACTTTTATATTATATATGACTCTTAGGTTTTCAATCAACCCTTCAGTATTGAACATTGCCTGTCTAATATCTGCTTGTTGGCGGCAAAAATTTTCCCAAACAAACTTTTCTTGAAGTATAGACTTATAACGCGTTTTGGCTTTTTTTGGATGTATTATTTTTGTGTCCAGTTCTGATATGTTGAAGTAATATGAAGAGGATTGTTATATTATATTGAGCAGTGTAAACTATATATGAGTGTTGTACTCAGTACTCACGTTAAATCACATTGCTGCAGAGACATAAACGACTGAAGAAAATATTTGTTGTGCTTCATGAAGAACTGAAGGTGATGATTTGACCCCATTTCTTACTATAGAGATCCAATTATTTACATCTGCATATTTCTCCCTCTGACATAAAGTGACACAGACAAAGATATAAGTATAACAATTGTTCCACAGATTAAGTAATGATAGTAAATTGAAATACTTAAACCATTAAACTGTACCCTTATTGTCCATATAAATACTCCAATGTATCATTAATTATACCACATATTACAGAGTACTTGAGAAGTTCTTGCAGGCTGATAGTCGGATACCAAAATACATTAATAAGAGGCATGTATTGAAATGAAGAATTACTGATTTAGTCAATATATGGACAATGGAGTATACTTGTGGGACATAAGAGAATAGGATAAACAGTCTATATCATTGTGGGACCGAGGGATCATTTAATATCCTCGTGCATATTATCCCCTTAAAAAGGCCCAGTTTCTGATAATACATAGTATTGTCATGGTTTGCAGCATTTGAAACAGATGATGAAAGAGTTTGCTGCTTCATATGCGAAAAGTTGACTACCTGGTCTCTCTTTCCAGTTTTGCCTCTATTTGAACTCTCCTTTGCCATTTGGCATCACCTGGAGCAGTTCCCTCTGATGTTGTTGCAGTTGGAGTTGATGCTTTAAGGCCATATAACAAGTGACGGACTTCTCAGTGAGAAAATCTGGTTGATATATGATAGTCCATCTACATGATCTCTGCCAGTATATCTTTTGCTCCGATCAGCAGTGAAGAAATTTGTGGTTTGGTTGACTGATTTCATGATCTATCAGTGTTCCGGGAGCAGTATATACAAGAAGGGGAGCGTTGGTAATGGTGGTGTTGAGTACAAAACAAATATAAATTGGATGTAAATATAAAATATAAAGCATAGAAATGGTTTGGTGAACTTGTGAGGCCTCATTTTATAGTTATAATTATTATCGGTTTAGGGTTAATTATTGTAGCACTTCAAGATTGATCAAAATAACTCTTGTATCTTGTATTTTAAAGGAAAGCTAATCATCTCATGTAGTTTGGTCGAATTAATCACTAGACCATAGTATCTATTGTATCGTGTTACATTTCATGCTCATTAACCATAGTATCTTGCTCTTTTTAATTTAATGAAAAGAAAAGTCTACTAGATACAAAAAATGTTACTCCTTTTGAATAGTGTGTGATGGATAAGTGTACTCGGGGTATCTATCCGAGGGGTTACTGCGGGGAATAACTAGAGATAAGTCAGAGCAAAAGTAAGAGAGAGAATATATATTGCTGAGAATGTGTTGACTATCCGAGGGGTTACTGCGGGGAATAACTAGAGATAAGTCAGAGCAAAAGTAAGAGAGAGAATATATATTGCTGAGAATGTGTTGAGCGTATTGAGCCTGGATTACAAATGGGGAAAGAGGTGCTATTTATAGTAGTAATAAATGTCAAATATGGACACATGTCATCGTTCTGGTGGTCGAGGGGTCACCTCAACGGGGTGGCACTGGCACTCGCATGTGTCCGCATTAAATGCGGTGGTTGGATGTGACGTTTGTACTTGGTACGTTGATCCGGCGCATGTGGGTGGGAGATTCTGTTGAGGAGATGCCTTCGACCGTAGATGATTGGCCGAAGGCTCTTCATTCCGGGGGTCTCTAGGTGCCGAGGGCTCTAGGTGCCGAGGGCTACTGTTTTTGCCGCTTTCTCCCACACACTTTAAGTGCTTTAAAGAAGCTGTACTGTGAGTTTATGAGCCTTCGGCCAAGGGGCCGAAGGCACCCTAGTGTTCGTTGCGGGCTGTTTGACACTTGGGGCGCTGTGATTTGGGCCTGCTGCGCTTCCTGGGCCTTTAGGGCCTCTGCTATAGTAATGGGAGTTTATGAGCCGGGGGTTCCTGGGCCATATACTCCATCAAGAGTCCCTCACTCCTTTTCCCGAAAGGTACTTGAGGGAAAAGGAGTAATTACGGTTGTCCTCTGGTGTTGCCTCGCTGTAGTTTGTAAATGGGAGGTTTGCGTTTGCACATGATTCTGCCGGGGCGAATGTGGGGACTGAAGGGTCATGTTGCTGCTTTGGGGAGATTTTTGACATTTTGCATTTTTGTGATTTTTCTCGAAGGGGTCCTCCAGTCCCCAACTCCTTGAGGCACATGTAATGTGGTGAAGAGGAGTAGAATAGTGCCCGCTGTCGCATAGGGCCGAAGGTTGACACTTTTCGTTTCATTTTGGGGGATGCCTCGTTAAAAACCTCATTAGGAAAAATCCTGTGGGAAAAAATCCTAATGAGGGAAAAAAAGTGCACCGAATTCCCCCAATGATGACTCGAAAAGGTGAAACCTTGGTTTGAGATGAAGGACAAAGTTTATGCCGAAGGCTACCCTTGATCTGAGGGCGCGTGGTTTGACTGACCGAAGGCGCTTTGTAGATGCCCCAGGAGATGCCGAAGGGGAGTCCCTCAATCCATGGGGTTGAGGGCGTGATGAATGTAAGTGGTAGTTGCTGTGTTGCCGAGAGGGTTCTCTGGCTAATGACAAGCTAGGGATGAGGGCACCCGAGGGTCCCGTTGTCGTACGTTGAAGGCTGTCCACCTAAGAGGGGTGTTGTGTCTGATGTTCCCGAGGGGTCTCCTTGTTGCGTGGCCGGGGGGGGGGGGGGGGGGGGGACAGTTGGTGAAGGCTCCCGAGGGGTCTACTCGTTGTTTAGCCATGGGCTCTTGATTGAGAAAGCTCGGAGGCACTTGTGATGTTGTATGAGGGGTACCGGCCGGGAGCACCTCTGTGTTTTCAAAATATAGCCGTTGCAATCAGACCGTTGGCACATGGGAACGTTTAAAAAGTAGCCGTTGGAGAGGACTTCCACGTGGCGCGTGGCCGTTGGCTAGCTTTGGGCGGGCGTCACCGGTTGTTGGAAGGGGCGGCGTGTAATGATGGCTTTCGTAACCGGAGGCCCGGTTTTGGGCCCAAGCCCGGATCTGGGTGCCTATAAATACCCCAAGGCCAATGCCATTTTCCTTGTGCGATCATATTGTAGCGAAGCTCTGGCCAAATATTTCTAGAGAGAGAAAGTTCCCTTCGGTCAAACCATGTTCTCAAGGTTAGTTCTTCCTTCGTTCCTCCCTTCAGCTGCATACTTAGTTTTTCCTGCCTTAGATTAAGTGCTCAGGTTGGTTAGGAAGCTCTCGTCCTTTAGCCTTCGACCTTTAGTTTTCGAAAATGTCATCTGCAAGCAATTCGCAAGACATCTCGAGGGAGCCTTCGGTTGAGGCGGAAACTTACTCTGATGTTGAGCCTTCGAGCGAGGAGCCTTCGGCGGGTGATGCTGCTGCCGTGGCCATGGAGGTGGAGAAGGACCTCAGGGCCGAGGTCGAGGCCGAGGACTTTGAACAAGTAAATGAGGACGAGGAGATGGCCCTCGCCGTTCAAGTTGCTGAGCAAGAGGAGCAAAAAGAGAGGATGAAGGTCATTGTTGCCGTCCTTCCCCCCGCAATGCGGATGAGGCCAGCACCTCTCGGCCCCTGAACCCGACGCCCCTTAGGGTTACCCCGGGAAAGAAGAAGAAAACGAAGGCTGCCGTTCCCAAGAAGAAGGGTAGCGTTGCTGATCAGGGAAGGCCCATCGATCTGCCCGAGGGCTCTTCCTTCCTATACACCGCCGCCCTCGAAATCAAGTCGAAGGCTGATATGGCGGAATGTTATGTCACACAATTGCACGTGGGGCCCTCGGGCACAGTAATACTGCCGGGACCAGAAGACCTTCTCTCCCGGGCTCCCGAGGGGTATATAGTGGTGCATATCCTCTCGGTCTCCATGGGCCTCCGGTTCCCCTTGCACCCATTTCTTCGTGAGTACCTCCGGTTCGTGGGTCTGCTTCCTTGCCAACTCACGCCCAACAGTCATTCCTACATCACCGATTTCCTTCACCTCTGCCGAACCCGGGGGGTGGCCCCCAACTTGGACCAATTCTTCCAAAGCTTCAATCTCTGCCGAGGGGCCATGCAAACGCCGAAGGGTTTGCGAATCTGCAGCAGGTAGCCTAGTGGAAGCTGTTCACCGAGGCGCCCTCCTAAAATAAGGGTTGGAAGGAGCGATGGTGCTATGTCAGGCTAGCTGAGAGCCCCTTCCTGAAGGAGTTGCGGGACCGTTTTAGGCGGCATGAGAAAATTAGAAGTGCCGCCCTCGAGAAAGATGGCATTAAGCTTGCCAAGATCCCGGAGGGGTGCAACAAGAACGTGACGATCAAGGAGTGCACCCTCGAAGAGGATCTGTATGCCATCGGCTTCTGGCGGTATCGCTACTTGGGGGAGATAGATGAAAAGTTCCCCCTCCTTGATCGAGTCTTCGAGGGCGCCGGAGGTGATTACTGAGGGCCTTGAGTTTCGTACTTAGGAAATTTTTTTAGTACTTTTGATATATTCCCATTCTTTCTACCCTCCGAGCTTAATTCTTTATTGTTGCTTTGCAGGTGTCGGTATGGACGCAAACGCCCTCTTCTCTCTGAAGAAGAAGAAGGGCAAGGCCCAAGCTCAGAAGAAGGACCCTTCGGGCCAGCAGCCCGTTGAGGCCTTCTTCCAGAAGGAGATGCCGGAGCCCTCTGCTGTGGCTGCCGCTGCTGATGTGGCCGGGGGGGCCACGAAGAAGAAGAAGGGTAGCAAGGGGGTTGAGCCCCCTCCCAAGAAGCAGAAAGTTGCCGGGGATGTTGCTGAGAAGGCGGCCCCCGTGGTGATTATAGAGGATCGGTCCTCTGCTGAGCCCCCGGCTTCGACCGCACTGACGGCCCCTTCCAGCGACCCTTCAGGGGAATTTTCTCGGGAGACCTTGCAGGTTCCCCTCGTCAAGGGGACTGCAATGATGTATGGCACAATAGAGCCAAAGGCTTTTTTGGGGAGCATTACCTCGGACCTGGATAGAAAGGCCCTCGGGACCTTCGACGACGAGGCCCTCGAGAACAAGATCCTCCGGTCTTCCCTCACTGTAAGTCTCTTTTTCTCATTCTTACTTTTCATTCCCTTAGTACATCTTGGATGATAGCTTGACTCCCTTGATCATTGTTTACAGGCCTGCATAGCCCTCGGCGAGCAAGCCCGACGGCTGGAAGAATGGCGCCTCCAGAAAGCCCAGCAGGAGGAGTCCCTGAAGAAGCTTATCCTCTAAAAAGATGCTTCCCTTAGGGAAATGTTCAAGCTGGAGGTGGCCCTTAAAGAGATGGAGCTGAAGATGGAGGCCGCTAGGGCAGAGGCCAGGGCCGAGGGGAAGGCTGAGGCCGAGAGTGCTGCTGCCGAGGCCGCCAAGAGAGCCGCCGACGAGGCCGAGAGGGCCAAGAATGAGGCGGTAGCGAAAGCTGGGAAGGCCGCGGTTGAAGCCTTTACTACCGAAGACTGGGAGGCCACTGATAGGGAAGAATGGGTCTCCTCTGTGGTGCGGAAGAAGGTCGACGCCTGGGTTGAAGGCCCCGGTAAGGAGTGGTTGACCGAGAGAGGCGACTGCTACTACCAAGGGGGTGAGTTCTTCACCCAGCACCTGATATACCGGAGGCTTGCTCATCACTTCAACGTCTCCCTCGATCAGTTCAACCCGGCGGTGTACGGCCTTCCCCCGTTGCAGCCTGATGTGAGAGTCCCCCTCCCCCCGGGCGAAGAGAGGACTGTGATTGATGACTCTATGATGATGGGGGGAGGTGACGATGAGGCCGCCGGGGAAGAGGTCACCTCCAAAGTTGCCGAGGGAGAAACCGCCGAATGATCTTGTATTTGTAATTCTTTGAACAATTTGTTGTAATGACAATCTGTAGCTCTCGGCCTCAGCCTGTTTGTACCAAACACTTACATCATTCTTGTTCTCTTTTATGAATGTATGCCTTCGGGCTTTGTATATAATTTGCTTTCATCTTTGAATGTATGCCTTCGTCTTTTCTTTGTGAAATGAATGCCTTCGAATTTGCCTTGTGAATGAATGCCCTCGTACTTCGGTGTTTAGGTTGTCAGTCGTTTTAAGACTTAGGAAAATTTTCTAAGTGTTGTTTTTTTCCATCAAGCCTTCGGTTGTGTGGCCCCACTGGCTGCATGGATATTTGACCGAGGGCCAAATATTTAGGACTTAGAAATTTTTTCTAAATGT